ATTTGATAGATTTGATGTATTATTAGTACTAGTGGATGATGTTAGTGTTGACAAGCAGTTGTTGATTATTCTGTTAATTATGTATTTAGGGTAGTGATTGTTATGAAGGATTTGTTTGGATATCTTCAATTTTTACAATTCAAATTTACAAAAGCGCTGATAGTTATTATCTTTACTACTATTTAAAGTATTTCAATCGATAATACTTGAACTGAACAACTTACAAAAGTAACAAACGGCATAATTAACTGAATTAACGTGACTTGGGTCTTACTTTAACGTTAGAGTTTTGTAAAGTTCTTTGAGTGCACTTATTTGTAGGTCGAACCACTTCACAAGTTCGCCTAGTGTGTGAAGTAGCCTGTAATTGTGTCCTAAGTCCGCTGCAGATGGACTTATCTTTGTAATCGTGGATTTTCACGACTGTTCCAATTGGCTACTGGGGAAAAAGATCGGATCGGCCGCAATGAATCTTATTTCAGTCTTTTCTTTATCTTATTTGTCCTTATCATATCACTGAATTGCAATTTAAAATAAATTAAACAAAACGAATAAAGGAAAAGGGCGAGAATGATTTTTTTTTAAACAGAAGCAGAGGAAAGATAAAAAGCAACAGAAAGAAAGAGAGATGAAAGAGAAAATTAAAAATTAAAACAAAATTTATGGTTTTCCAAACACTGAATAATTAAATAACTCATCAATAAGGTGTATAAAAATTTTTCTAATTTATTTATTTTTTAAATTATTCGCTTCTTTAGAATAATTACGTATTTACGGTATCTGTCAACGAATTAGTGGCTTTAAAAAAAATAAATTGTAATAAAATATCGTATATATGATATAATGTATATTATTGCTTCTGACAGTGTATAAAATATACTATATTCTTTTTATACACTGTCAGATAAATATAATAATAAAAATTTTGCAATATAAAGGTAAAGAATAAATTCTACGCGGCTGTGCTCCGAGAAGAAAGAAAATAAATCCTCAAAAGAACGACCTTTAATTTATTTAGTGAGAAATAGAGAAATAGTTCGAAATGAGTTTCCAGGTGGGGATGACCGTTTTAAAATTACATCAAGAAAACATGGAAATAAGCTTGTTTCCGTATTGGTTCAGTCTCGTTCTAACTTTGATGCACTGGTATGTACATCAAGTAGAAAACAAACATAGAAACAAAATCAAAGGAATGTTAACAAATTTATGTTTCGAAGGAAAAAAATCAATAACTTACAAATGTATGTAATACATTTATAATAAAAAAAATGAGCAACGCCCTCGTTAGGACGTGACTGTATCAGGTTGACTATATTTTCTTAAGATAATCCTATAGCACTGAAAAAATATTATCATTCCGGGCCGGCCAGAGTCAATAAATATTTCTGCAAATGTAATGCGATATTGATAGGTGGTGCTTAGAAAGAATAATTCACCCCAGGTAACACTCCTGCCTCCAACCTTTTGATATTTCATACTGATTGCTTGCCACATAAGCAGATTTTCTCGATATAGAAAAAAAACGGGAAATCGAAAGGGTTCGTTGCAAGTGCCCTAATCAAATCAATTGAAAATTGACAAAATAGGCATGATACATTTTTGACGGTCTAGACGTTGTTGGTTAATCAGTAAAGTATCGCAAATAAAAAAGTGATTAACAAGGAAAAAATTCCTCCTTCATTATTAATTTAGAATGGACATAAATAGAATTTTAATGATTTATTAGGGGCGTCAGTGGCCGCAACAACGGTTTAGGTGTTGACACGGCGCTCATCGCTGTAAGGTAAAGGTCCCGTGTTCGAATCCAGCGGCCCTGCATTCCAATCTGACATACATACAAACGGATTTTTTTTAAACACCGGCACCCTGAGGGTTTATATGACCTCTGCTGTTGCGAACCCTCGTAAAAAAATTAATTTAAAAAAAGATTCATTAAGCCAAAAGAAATACTTTCTAATATTACATTTTTCTATTAACTGTCCCAATTTATAAATATGTAGATATTTTCTGAAAACGTCAAATCCATTGACTGCACATTAATAATCGCCCTGCCGAATTAACTTAAGACTTAAAAAGAATACTTAAGAATTTAAAATGTACAATAAGTCAAAGTTTAATGGCATTTCATTTCGTATTTTTGCGAAGGAAAATCGAGTAAATTGTGTGAATTTCCTTAAAAAAACACTTATAAACTTACATTTACTTATTTTTATTATTTTGATGTATAGTAGTTTAAAAAGACAGGGGGGAACGTGCACTTAACTCTCCTTCAAGATAAAATGAGTCGATATTTATCCACTAAATAAAAAGAGAATCGTGGGGATGAGCAACCTTGGCAATGTGTTGGGCCGAGGCCAAAACTTAGCTTTCCAATTGTTTCGTTGTAAGGAACAAGTTCGGCCATGCATGCGGACAAACGAGCAGAAGCGAAAAAGAGGACAATAATTTTCTTACTCGAATATGTAACACGTGTAAAGGTTTATTTCCAGGGGAAAAGCAGTATAAAACCAAGTGCTGCCGTAGTAAAGTTGTTAAGGGAGACGTTCCCCTATTAGCAAAATGGTAGTACTTGCAAAGCGACAAAGCAAAGTATGTTATGCCTTGTCATACTTAGTTAAAACAGCCTCCTTAATTGGGTAAAATATTTATTTAAGTATTTTTTTACACATATCTTTTTTGCCCGTGTGAGATGGTTACGGAGCAATATTGCTCACTAATCTTCTAAGTCTCAGTACCTCTCTTTGTTGTAAGTTTCATTGTTTCCTTATCTCTCCTCTCTCCCTCTCACCATCTCTCTCTCTCTCTCTCTCTCTCTCTCTCTCTCTCGCTCTCCCTATGAATATCTTTAATGTTATGCTATCCGATCAATCTATTTTTCTGATTATTTGTTTATCCCTTCTCATTATTTACTGTTATACACATATGCGCATGCTTGTTTTGTGGTCTTGTTTATTTAACACATTTTATTTGGTACCGCTGTTAAATAGCTATTAAACCAAACACATGTTTTTTTCATATTGGTTGAAATTTTGTAATAACGCAAATTTAGGGTAATTACAATAGTCTATATTTTAATTAAAAACAGCTTTATTGATTTTATTCACCAGCTTTCTTGGTCCGCTTGACCAATTAATAACATTCAATTAATTAAGGTTTTAAGCTGGGATAAAAAGTCAGTGTCACGAGCGGAATACGAACCCACGATCGTCTAGATACGCCGCTGCTCTGCCACTTGAGCTATAGTGATTTCGATCCCCTCGGGCACTAACTTCCCATCTCAACTCCACCTTTTGAATTTTCCCTCCTTTTTGCCATTTTTCAAATGTCGTTTAATCGGATTGGATTCTCGGCGAAAAATAAAATGGCCACGGAGAGCATTAGTGAAGTTTACTTCATTTCAATTCATTAAATTCACTATTTTTCGTGGTCCGCTTAATTAACCAATTAATAACTAATTATTCAGAAATCGTGAGATGCGGTCTGGTGTGATGTAGGTTTCAGAAAAACATTTTCTTTATCGTGCCCACGTTTCGATCTTTATTGAGATCATCTTCAGGGCCTTGTGTTGTCTGCATTTCAGCAAAAAAGTTCAGTTAACGTTAATCACCACACACTTCTACCCGAGAAGAACATGGGATTATATGAACTAATTTAAAGTACATCTGGAAACGAAGCTAAAAGTATTCTGAAGGACATTGCCAACAATGAGAAGACACTCGCATCGGCTATCAACCATAGAACTTTTTTGCTGAAATGCAGACAACACAAGGCCCTGAAGATGATCTCAATGAAGATCGAAACTTAGGCACGATAAAGAAAATGTTTTTCTGATACCTACATCACACCAGACCGCATCTCACGATTTCTGAATAATTATCGATTAACGGTCACTAATCACCACCAATTAATAACATTCAATTAATTTTAAAAGTCACGATAGCTCAAGTGGTAGAGTAGCGGCGTACAAAGCCGAAGGTCGTGGGTTCGAATTCCGCTCGTGACACTTACTTATTTTATCTCAACTTAAAACCTTAATTAATTTATTGATTTTTTTGAGATACAAATATGTACCTCATAAAACGATTTTGGATTAAATGATGTTCACGTTTTATAATTTCAATAATTCGTTTTCTTTGAAGAATTTTGTAATTAAAATGTATGCCAGGAAGAACATTTTCTTATGCTAAACTTCTCTCTGTTACTCGGTATACCTAATAATAAACTTAATAAATAAACCGAGGCAAATTATTTGTCAGATAATCATAATTATCTGCTCTTAATACAGGCAAGTTTTGTTTCCCAAGTACAAAAACTTGTGCATGTGAGAAAGATATTTGATCAAGCAACATTTCAAGCGGCGAAAATGTAAAATTTTCTATTAGTGTTTCCTTTACGTGAAGTCATTATTGTTATACGTTTTGTTTAAATGACAGTACAAATTTGTAAATTTAAAAGAATTTGTTTGTTTCTGTTTGAAGCCATTTGCATAATTTACAAGTGAGTGAATACCAACCACTGTTCAATTGCGTACAAGAATTATTTATAGCTGTTCATTAAAGATTCGGTCCAAAGTTTATTTGAATCGTTTCTCAAAAACTTTGGTACTTGACTCGTTAATTGATACGGCAGTCCATTTCCGTGATTTGAGTAAAAAAATGGCCTTTTTTCTTTACAATATATATTAGAAATCGCTATAATAAACTCAATCTTATTTCAACTGAAAACAAAGAGTGAATTATATAAAATTCTTTATTTTATGACAATCAGCTTTATTAAAAATTTTGTTACTTCACACATTAAATAGTTTATATGAATAAATTACGACAGAAAAGCTTTTTTGAGGTTGATACGGGTTCTCACAGGCTTGCGACTCCCATACTTAGACCCAATCTTTCCAGACGTTAAGACGCCAGTAAAAACCCAATACAAATGTTTGTTGAATGCCTGGATGCGCTAAGGGGAGCCTTCAGAGAGAGGGGTGATATTATGTAACAATACGAAGAAAGCTTATATAAGATATCACAGATGATCCCAAGCTCACTTGCTGGTTTAACATAACTAGGATGGCGCCCAACTCATCTCCCAAGTAAGTGCAGACAAAAAAGCAACAAAAAACGCTTTACTTTTGATCACTTAAAAATCCTGTCATTAAAAAAAGAACTACATTAAAATATATAAATATATGTATACAGTAAGTGCAAATATTAATTATACACTATTGTTTGTAATTTGTAATACACAATTTCAATTTAATTTAAATATTTTTCAACATGCTAACCCAGCAGGTATTATCTATATTTGCATGTTTACCAGCATATATTCGGCTGTTTTTCCAAAAACAGTTCAACAAATCATGAAATTTGAAAACGTTGCTGTCATGTGCTTTGGACGATCGCAATCATCACGATCTTCCTAACTCGATTATGCATTTGCCATGCAAGTTTGATAAACTTGTAGCGAATTTTAGAGTCAGGAGATGGGGAGCAAGGTCGGGTTCGGGGTTCTGAAAAAGTTCCTCCAGTAGGGAAACAAGATTTTTATTTTCACAAGGTTACCCTTTTACATTCGTGAATATATGGTCAAACCAAATGAATAACTCTCCGGAGATAGGGGGGCGAGCAAAGAAAAGGAAGCCTTCCTACCTTGCCCGAGGTGGTCCAATGTCCTCTGCTAGTCCCGTCCGGGTAACTTCCTCCTTTTTCTTCTCTGTTCTTTTCCTTGGTAATCCGTGCTTTTTCCTTTTCTCTGTCCGAGCGTCCAGTCACCTTCCGGCTAGGGAAACGAAATTCCCCCCTCTCTCCGCCTTTTCCGGATATATCTTCCTTCCCCCACTCCCGGTGGATGCGGACGCCCTCCATGGGCAGAACCCATGGGGGGGGGATAAGTGAGATAGGGGCGGTGATGAGGCCCTGGATAGGGCCGTCTGTGGTGGTTCCTCTGGGTCACCACAGACTCATGCTGCTCTAAAACGCGCGTATATGTTTAGCATGTAAAGAAAGGATGCTTGATGTGTCCTAAAAGCATCCCGGTCCCAAGCAACTTGGCTTCATATAGAGCGGAAATAGTAATGCGACCAGAAATCATCTTTCAGGATTAGACAAGACAGAATGAGCAGGATACAATGAATAGTCAAATTTTCGAACTCCGAAGTTTTAGAACGCGATAGATTTAATTTATCGTGTACGTAGTGAAAAATGGAGACAATTAAAAAATTAACGTGAATATAATAAGAATGTTTAATTGGTATTGATTTTTTAAAACTTAAACAAGAAATATCGGTTACACGATAAATTAAATTTATTGAGTTCTGAAGGAAAACATCAATATTTTGAGAATGAATCAACTAATTTTTGAGGATAAATATTTTACAGCATTTTGATTATTGATCTAACCAATATAAAAAATTATAGCAGAACTCAAATATATCATCAATGCGTTCTAAAGATATAGAAGTTTTACTTCATAAATTGAGCATTTCAATTTATTCTTAACTGATTGTTGTTTTTTCAAGTTAGGTTTTCAAAATTCTACATAAATTTCTTTTTAAAATTTCCATTTTTTATCCAATTTATGACAAATTGTAATTATCGAATTTTGAAGGAAAACTTCAATATTTTCAAAAGTGATAGATGAATTTTTCAATTCAAAATATTTTAAATAGAATCTCCTAGTGCTAGAAGAATGTTAATTACTTGGCGCGATATGCCGACCTGGTGATAACTTTTCTTCTAACTTAATACGCTTTTTTTCCACAGATTTTTAAAGTCCTTTTCATTCTAAAATAATTAATACAGTAAATTAGTTTAGAATGAAAAGGAATTTCAAAATTTGTGGAAAAAAAACGTATTATGTTTGAAAAAATGTAATCACCAGGTCGGCCTATCGCGCCAAATAATTAAAATTCTTCTGGCACCAAGAGATTCTACTTAAAATATTTTTAGACCCATACCTAGTTTCATAATAAAATACGCTGAGTAAAAATGCTTTTTATAAAAAATCGTACGATAGTCGGAATGAAGTAGATACGATAAATTATATGAAACACAACAATAAAATATACATTACGTTCCCGCATGCTACTCGGTCGTCCTTACAAGGACAATGAGGATCTTTAACGCCCACACCTAGCCTTTCCTGGCTTATCGGACGTTTTGATTCTCAAGATGAGAGCTGACGTACCTCCGCATATGACAGATGGATGTTACAGCCGCAGCATTGGTGTAGAAGCTATCCCGGCCCCAAGGGTCAAAGGTAAAGTGCGTTTGTCAAAACCCGTCGATCAGGGCCGATAAAAGAGCATAAAAGTTAAAAAAATGTATGCTTATGTAGAAAAAATTTATTTTTTCAGCTTGCTGACGTATTTTTTTCCATTTTTTCTTAACACTAATGGGCGTTTTTCTTCTTTCAGCGGAAACACCGAGATGAGTAAGGGTGAATCCAAAGCAGTCCCTGACAGGGCAAAATTGACCCTCGAAATAGGAGAGGCGCCGGAGACACGATCATTCAGAACTTCCCTACCGCAAGTAAACAGAATAATTATCTATTCCTGACAGGTTTTGAAGACTAAACCGCTAGTGATTACCTAGCAAATCACAATACAAAAGCGTAATTGTCCTATTACCTCCTTGCTCGTTACCAAACAGTTTTTTGGTTTTCTTGTTTTTTCTCCTTGCTCGTTTATTTCTATATGTTTAAGGTTTTTAGAAAATAAAAGTCTATAAAACAAAATAAGTATAATTAATTCAATAATTTAAATAGGTATCCCGTACAGGTTGTATTAATACAGTAAAGCACGGGTGTTTAATTTTTGTTTTGTTTTTTATGTTCAAGAAACATTTGAATTGAATTTAAAAAGATAAAATTTAAAATATTATCAAAATAATTAATACCCCTTAACCTGTCAAATATATGCGTTATAAAATCGTTATTTCTGACTCACGGATTATTTTTTTGTTAGTAACAGCACAATTCTTCTGATTTAAAATTTGGCCGTTCCAATTTTTTTTAGTGCTATAACAATCGTAAAATAGTTATTCCTGTTGTCTGTCTCTTCCCATTTTCGCTACAAATAAATTTTACACATTTAATTTTACGCTTATCTTTCAATTTCCTTTAATAACTAATAACAACTGGCATTGTTATATTAATGTAATGTTATCTATAAACTGCGTTTATAAGTCAAACTTTCTGTTTGTAATGTCAAACTTGTTAATCGTAAATCTAATTTTCTCTTTCGCCCTGAATTGATATTTTTGTTGCAGAGCTTAAAAAAATAACACTTTTGCTTGTTGTAGTTTTTCGTTGAACTTGACAAAATTTTGACTAAAATATACATTTCTGTTACATATAGTTTATGTAACTTACGGAAGTTCAGGTCGTATTTTATTTTTGTTTCATAATATAACCACGTTCATTCTGGGTTTGAGGTTGTGACACTGATTTTTTGTTTTGGAAAATTGTTGAAATGATTGACTCGTGATCGAAGAAACTTTTCTCAACGAAAATGCGTAAGTAGATGGACCCAGTAAACTGATCGTGGCCCAAATAATTTGTCGAAGACTCGCAGAACGACACAAGAACAAATAATGAAAATTACGATTTTCCATACAATATTTCAGATTGGTCCTTTCAAAAAGTGCTACCGGGTTTGTCGTAATTTAAATAAATTTTTACTTGTAATAAACGTTTTATTATATGTTAATTATTATAATTTTTATATAATTTATTAAATTATTTTTGTTAATTATTGTTATTCAGATATCGTGAGATGCGGTGGGTGGGGGACCGCATCTCACCATATCTGAATAACTATCGATTAACGGTCACTAATCTCTACACATTTGTTAATTATTCAGAAATCGTGAGTGAGATGCGGTATCACTTGGTCCCAAATATTCCATTCCTTACAACAAAACAGATTTTCCAACAGCTAAATTAATTACAGATGTAGACTATGCAATCCAAAAGTACACAAAAAGGGAGGAAGAAAGAGATTGCAACTCACGATTTCTGAATATATATATCAGTATTACAACCCAATACCTGGATAAGAGAGTAAAGCGACATATCTATGCAAAAAAATCCAAACAGAATCCGACACCACTGGCTGNTCACATTCACTCCCCCAGAGTACTCGATATTCCTCGGGGCGGGGTTGAACCCACTCCATTCGCGCTAATAACTTACTTTTCTGAATAATTATCGATTAACGGTCGCTAACCACCACACATTATTTTTGTTATTCTTTTCTTTTGGTATTAAATTTTTTTCTTGGTATGAAATGATATGCATGATCTACATTTCAATTTATCAAGTCTTTATGATTATTTAATTATCAGATAAGAAAAATATTTAAATCAGGCCAAATGGCACAAGAACAAATAGTAAAAACTACGATTTTCCATAAAATATTTCAGATTGGCCCTTTCAAAAAGTGCTAACGGCTTAATCGTAATTTAAATAAATTTTTAATTGTACTAAATGTTTTATTATATGTTAAGTATAATAATTTTAATATAATTTATTATTTTGTTATTTTTCTGGTATTACATTTTTTTGTATTATCTACATGTCAATTTATCATGGCTTTATGATTATTTAATTATCAGGTAAGAAAAGTATTTAAATCAGGCCAAATCATATTTTAAAGGGTTAATTATTAAAAATTAGCTACAAAAGATTAACAAAAAAATTTATACAAATATAAAGTAAGTTCCGCATTAAAAATATATTGGGTAATATTTTGCGTTTGGCTAGCATTATTAAATTCAATTGATTGTTCATATTAGTTTACCGATAAACGTTCCGTGTTGATTCGTTAAATGTTACACCACAATCATGTAAAATATTAGACGACAAACGATTCTCGAAATTTGGTTATCGATTTTTGATTACTGGGGTACAAATAGAAACGGATTGTGTAACGCAGCCATCTAAAGCCGTCCGACGATAATATGAATTGGGGCAATACATACAATCACTCTCGGTATTTGAACGAGATTTACTATTTGTTTCCAGAAAGATAAAATGTACAAACAACTCTTTAATCTGCGACCCGTGTTATTGTCACAGCGAGTAAAAGATAGCCGACAGGGATTTACCATCATATGTTTGGCCCGTTTTCCAACACGCGTGACACATCCTAACATTGAATCGAACCTGTTAAAAAAACCTGTTAAATATATGTGTTTAAATGTTTAATTCTTTAATAATCAGTAACCGAATACGTGTTTTACTTCCGATTTTATGGCAAACTGATAAAAACTACTATAGTAGTATTACTACTAGGCTGAAAATATTAACACGTGCCCACTGTTATTGGAGGAGAAAAAGAAACATATTTTTTAAATAGAAATGATGAATGGTGTTCAATCCTTTTAAAAAAATAGTTCCTACTTACAGTAAGTTGTTTTCAACGATCCGTATTTCGAGCTTTTAGCTCATCATCAGGTTGAAGGAATTATACAAGCTGATGATGAGCTAAATGCTCGAAATACGGATCGTTGAAAACAACTTACTGTGAGAAGGATCTATCTTTAAAAAAATATTCTTTTTTCTGACGTTCTATAAACAATTTCGATCAAATACAGAGGAATTATGGATTTTTAAGTGGAACACTGGACATAAGAAGAAAAAAAAATGACCCCCGCATATCCGACACAAATACGAATATTTTTTCTTGAGATAAAAATTTGTCTTTAAGAAGAAAAAGGAATAAAAGGAAGAAAAACTGATTATTTTTATCAATAAACTATATGCATATTAATATATACATAATGAGAATAAAGAATTGAAATGAATGGTTGTGATGAATTCAAACCTTAAAAATTATAATAAATAAATATAAAATAACGACCAAATGATGTTCCAGAAACTTTGGTACGACATGCCAGAAAAACGGTTTCTATCGAGAAAATTCAGGAGTTTTTAGGGTAGTCCAGCTCCTATTGAAGGAAGAAGCTGGCGCGTCCAAAAAGGTTTCCAAATTTGTTGAAGTCGTGAGTAGCGGTCATGAATAAGGTAGTTTAGAAAACCACTTGTTTATATTTTCCCGATGTTTCTACCTTTATTCGGATCATCTTCAGGGCCTGGGTAAATTACATATGTAGATTGGAAAAAATATAAAAATAAAAAAGTATAGGAACAGCAGAATTCAAATTCACGATTCACAACACTTTAACACAAAACAAATATGACACCCCAAGAATAGCACTACGTTTTATGTGAATATGAAATATTTAGTCCAAAATTTATATTTACATCTGAAATTCATTTTTTTCCAATCAACATATATTTTGTAATTTACCCAGCTCTGAAGATGCCCCGAATAAAGGTCGAAACGTCGGCAAAAAAATGGAAAAGGTGTTTTTTGAAACTATCTCATTCTTGATCGCTACTCACAACTTCGACTATTATGAAATAACAAGTCAATAATAAATACACAGGTCTTTCAAATATTGAGCCTATCAGTGCATCCCGACATTGAAAGGAACAAAAGAGGTATTTAAGTCTTCATTATATATGTATAACTATTTCTGGCTTGATACCTAACAATAAGTTTAATTTAAAAATTCTCGGACTGTTAATTTTTATTGGAAATATTTGTTTCATATGAAGAATTGAAGAAGAGTTTAATTTAATTTTATCTTTTATACGTACATTGTGAAGTAACAATGTAAAAAATAATAACTAAGAGTATATATTTTTTAATCTCTTATTTTAATTAATTAAGGTTTGTAATTGAGATAAAAAAAGTCAATGGCACGAGCGGGATTCGAACCCACGATCTTCGGCTAGATACGCCGCTGCTCTACCACTTGAGCTATCGTGACCTCGATCCACTCGGCCACTAACTTCCCATCTCAACCCCACCTTTTGAATTTTCCCTCCTTTTTGCCATTTTTTCATCTCAACTAAAAACCTTAATTAATTGTAATATATTAATTGGCCAAGCAGGCCACGAAATTAGTGAATCTATTTTAATTTATTCCTTCGTCAAAAGATTGTTAAATTAAATAAGAATTACGCAGTACTCAGTGTTCAGATTTAAGGGTTTGCTTAAACGATTTTGTTTCGACAAAAACATTTTTTGGCCACTTTACTGGAATTCGTTTTGATAATTTTTCTATACATTTTACCATCATGCTTATTTTTTATTTAAATCTTAGGATTAAAAAAATTAACTGATATAACATAATAGAAATACATAAGTAGGAAATACATTTGCAACAAGGTAGTAACACATATTTATAAAAATTGGTTAAAATAGATTTTCTTGGCCGACCGAGGATATGACGCTGCGACAGGTGTGTAATATAATTTTACCTAGCATGACCAAAAAAGTTTTATTAAAACCAGTGAACCCACATACGAAGCAACCTAGCATGTTAGTAATATCTATGAATTTTATAATTAGAATCTGTTGTGAAATTTTAAATGGTTTTTAATATAAACGTTTTATATGTATTAGCGCTTTCATATCAAAGAAACATAGGAGCTATTGAATTTCTTTGATGGCCTTATAGTTTACGCCAAACACAATTTTATGAAAATAGACTGATACACGTCCCAAGAAAGAAAGATATGCTTTTACATTATTTTTTTCATATTTGTTACATTAAATAATTAATTGTGCCGAACTCGGCTAAATTGTACATTTTTTAACACATGAAGAGAAATCTATGTAAATTTTGTAAACCGGCAATGTCTAACAAAGTCAATTGTTGCTATATCTTCATTGCTTGAAAACTTTTTTATACCTTCTCTAATTTTACCAGAATGAAGATGGAAATGAGTCTAAGTGCTCATATTGGTACATAAAAATGTACATGAATATGTATTAAAAAAATCTCGAAATGTTTGGTGATGGTTTTAATTTTTGGAAAATTCCTGCTTAGCACCAAACAAATCAATGAAAATCCTTCCAACAAATTTTAAATTCAATCAATAAATATTTGTTGGAAGGAATGTCCATTGGCTTTTGGGGTGCTAAAAGGGTATTAGCCAATTTTTTGGGATCCTTACGATGGCTCAGTAGCCTGAAACGTAAAAAACTAACAACTTCACCACGGATTTCATACGGTTAGCAAATATTAACATTAACTTTGTTAAAAACTAAGGCCTCAGCCGGAATGAATTTATGAGTTTAACTTAGTTGTGTTGATGACATCTACCACCCGTCCTTTATGTCCTACCACATTCCAGTGTCTTTTTCACTTTTTTAGAGCCCTGTAGAAGGTACAAGAAAATTCCTAAATCTAGGCGAAGATTTAAAACTAAAATATTTTCTTTGACCACATCCCTGATAATAAACAAGAGAACATTGTCATTTTAGATCCTTGAAATTCGCTTTATCACTTAACTATTTATATAAAACTATAATATTAAGGCTTTTTCATAACTACAATATTTTCTCGTTTTTTAGAATAGTACAACTTGATGAGCTAAATTATCCAACCTGTTTATTTCAACAATAATCATTTGTTTTTCCTTTGTAAATAGTTTTAATTAAATACAAAACAGGATTTAATCGTTTAATCGTTCCTGTGTTAGCTTAACTCTGTAAAAATACTATAATACCAAGAATTGGTTTTAAACTTAATAAAAGAAATTGTTCAAAATTATGATGTTATATTACGAATATTTTAGTAACTTATGAGTATGAAGTAGTAACTCAGAAATATGGACGTTACATAGTAAGTAATAGGTATACAATTTTATCTATTGTAAATTTTGAATTGTGATTCTACTTTATTAAAGCTACATGTAACACTATTTGAGACTAGAGAGGTTTGTTTAGTAAAATCATCATCATCAAGGTCGGAAAAGGATATAAAAAGGAATATTTTTGACGTGACTTAACGAAGGGCTACATTTCAGACCGTTACTTTGCAGCAGAAATGTTATGAGCAAACCCTTCGGAAAGTGAACGAGGGGATTTAACAATAAACCGCTTTTCTGTTCTCCCTTTAATTAGACAGAGTTTAAGTAAAATTAAAAAAAAAATCCGAACAAATAGTTTAAAATATTCCGTTTAATATTGGCTTGTGTTTCTTTTCTTTTCTTTCTTTCGGTTTTTTATACATTCGGTAATTTTATACATTAGAAGGAATACTTAAGGAAAACCGTTTATACTTAGATAGTGTAATTTGAAAATGATGTAATGAAAATAAACTAATTTTTTTATTAAGTATTTCAATATAATTTAAGTTTTTATTAAAGTTCTAGCACGTGTTAAGGGTACGCCTAGTTAGTTCTGCCTATATTTTTTTTACAGTTTTTATGTAGTTTACTAAATACGTAATTTTTCTAAATTAATTTTCAAAACTTCCTCTGATTTGTTGTTGAAATATTTTCCATTATAATTAGTGATCAGTCTTCGAAATTAAACCAAAACTGGCTATATATATATCTTCTAGCGTGAATATCTTCCCAGATCCAAAGGCTATTCCATGTTTATATTTGTATTTAGTAAATCTGCTCATATATGCTGAATATATCCATTATATCAACTTTTAAATACTTGTTTTCAATATTAAGCAACAGCAATACTATTAAACAAAATAATTTCTTCCAATTCTAACGTTTGAACTTTTTTAGGTACTGGCAACAATGGCTCAAAGTATGCTGTTGTTATCTCTCGGTATGATGGTATTTTCGTCAACTGTTATCATAGGGGCGTTGAAAAATGCACCTACTGGACTATCTTTAACAGACTACGAAGCATCATGGCTGGGTAAGTTCATTTGTAATGTTTCACGCTCAAAACAAACTATAAATGGTGATTAGTTGCGTATAAATAGAGAAATAGTGTAGAGCATATTATGCCAGGCTGACCTGGCGCTTTTGTGTAATTCACTTAAATAGTTATTAATTGCAGCTGGTGTTCTTTTAATTGTACAACCGACCGGGAGCGTTCTTTCCGGTTTCATCCAGAACACCCTCGGCAGAAAGAAGTGCATGCTGATGGTCAACCTCCCCCAGCTTCTCGGGTGGATGCTCGTCTACCACGCCCAATCAGTCCCGATGCTCTTCGTCGCTTCGGCTCTCATGGGATTTAGTATAGGTTTTATGGAGGCGCCGACTTTCAGCTATGTCGGCGAAATCTCACAGGCTCATCTCAGAGGAATGCTAGCCTCTTTTACGAGCGTTTACATCTCGGTCGGTCTCCTTATTATGTGCCTGTTGAAATCCTTCACGGATTGGAGGACAGCTGCAGCTATAAGCTCTGCAGTTCCCGTCATCACATTCATTGCCATACTGCAGGTAATTACAATTAAAAAATTCAACAGTTAAAAATGTATATCGCCTAAACCTACGGTTTTACGACCGGAATATCTCATTATTACAGCATGAACAATGCAATAAAAAAGAAGCTTTTCCTATCAATTTTATATTATTGTATTTATAACAAAAAGAGAAATAAACCGTATTACTCTTAAAGAAGTACGCCGATGAGTGGTGGGAAATCTGAAGGAGCATGGTCTGGACTATACGAATTGGGATCTTAAGAACATCAATTTGTTTGTCATTTTCGGAAGTGTTTTGTCTATTCTTGTTTAAAGTTGGCTTTATTTAAACTTCAATGAGATAATTTATTATTTAATTAATAATATTCTTGTAATTAAAGTTGTCGTAATATAATTTTCCGGCTTTTTTGTTTTTCTCTTGTTCATATATCTTGATAATTGATAATATGAAGAATTAGTGAGTCTTAAACGCAAGATAGAAAGAAATTGGTGGTTGCGTTCAAATTTGAGTAATTTGTGCTTCTCCTATGTAAAAACACGGCTGACATGAGTCCCTACGGTGCATCCGAAAATGACCCCCATGTAAAATTTTAAAAAGCCTCTACGCGTTCGGCATATTCCGCAGACATAAAAAAGAATAAAACCACGTTAATTAAAAGTAAAGTAATTTAATATACTCTTTCTTGAATATTATTGAAAACTAATCTAGTCGTAAAATGCATACCGAATGCCTTAAAAATATATATTTATGCAGGTTAATTGAGTCCGTATATTTTCTTTGTTTAGAAAGTACATCCCTTTCCTCACGTACAAATATTGTATATTTAGTACATGTGCGTAACTTTTGGCATGTTTCTAAACGAGAGTGAAAGCTCGTCAATTAGTTTATATTTGTACATTTTTTCATTACCCTAATTGGCTATTTGCGAAATCAACACTATTTAAATATTTCCGTGTAAAAAGATGAGATCCTTGTAGCCGTTTGACTGAGGATCAATATTAACAAAAAATGTACGTAAAACAGCAAACAAACAAGAAACACAAAGTTATTGAACCTGTGTGTGCTTGACAATTTTATATCTGTACTTAAATTCTGACGTGATCAAACTGTTTTGCGGATTTTAAATTATAATTTTATAAATAAGAAATACATAAGTCTAGATCAGATTCGATTTTTGCTGAGTATATTCTTAATTTGTCCAAATGTGTTAGAGTCTTTCTTCGTAGAATAATTGCCACGGTAAAAAGGATTTGTGGCAGTTTCTCTTAGGTTTGATGAATCTTTCTTTTCCGAGCTGAAAGGTCTAGTTCAGGGGTTCGTTTCTAAAGGAAAGTTAATGGCTGTAACGACGAAACAGTTCTCCGATAAGTGATCAAATTCGCGCAATATTCCGCCTAGCAAAAAAGGACTTTTACTGTTGAAAACTTTCATGTACTCGTTGAATCGATTTAGTACAGGCTTTTCAACTCGTCGAAACATTGACGCAGATTCGAGTTGAGTCTGTGGAATAGTAGATGGTTTTACTTCCAGGGAAGTAATAAAACCTGGCAGGCCTAGAAAAATGCAGTAGAAAAAAATCTTATTAGATCGGATTGTTAAAGATGTTAAAAGTCCTAAGATTGACTTGGTTCTGCAGTTAGTCAGTGCTAGTTTGCAACTTTTTCAAAATAAAGTCAGTTTGAAGGTCACCTATTCAATAACTACTTTCTAATATTAAGGCCATTGTCTCATTGGCTCATCAACTGTTACAATTCAACTTGCTAAAGCTTTCGCGTCACTTCTGGACCCTCCACAAATTGAACATCGCTTGAAATTTGGCCAAACTTATCACGATAAGCACAGCTGGATCTTTGGCCTAACAAGCTTTAGATAGTTCTACGACGCACAGAGTGCTAAGTGTAATCATCTGATGTTTCTGGCTTTTTACTTATTCGCACCGGCGCTTTTCATAAGCTCCACGCATCAGTAGTTGAGCACTGTACATAAGAAAATCCAATTTGGTCAATTGACATATACATATACAGGCAGTACCTCGAACAGAAGTCTATACTTCAGATTATTTATTCCAAATGTCAAGTTGCACTCAAACGTTCAAAGTTTGAATCTCAATTGTATTGGATATAAACAAATGTTTGCATTGCTGAATTAAGCGTGAAAAAACCTTTCAAAAATGTACATTGCTTAATACTTGCTATTTGAGATAAATAAGTTCTCATTAGTATCCCGTTAGCCCAGAAAGTTAGATGAACATTTTTTGGTTCATAAAAGAAACTAGACAAAAAAAATAGCTTCGGTGTTCTAAAAAAATTATAAGGCTGGGGACACAAATTGAAGCTCACTCTGTAATGTTTAACTAGTAAGTTCTTGATTGAAGATTTTTGATTTTGATTTGATTGTAAGATATGCGAAAAACAACCAAAAGTTCAGAAAATTAAAAACAACTTTTTCATATAAATATTGAACTTTATGTTCACTAAACAAAAAACGCTAAATTCAAAATGTTTTTAGAAATATTTATACATAAATGTACCAAAAAAAGACAATACTGCTATGTTAGATAATGTTTACGTCGTGATGTTCTTGATTTAACCGCTCTCAGTTTTGTATATTGCAATAATTTCTATTGTTATTCCAGGTACCTGAGTCTCCTGTGTGGTTGTTGACGAAAGGGAGGCGCGAAGAGGCGAGGGCTTCGTTGGCTTGGCTCAGAGGGTGGGTTAAGCAAGAGGTCGTACTGAAAGAATTCAGAGGAATGGAAGCTCATGCGGAAGCTTCGAAGCTAAACAGCCCCATCACGACCCCGATCACACCACCCACCCTTGCTTACTCGCCGGTTCCAACTAATGAAGGAGGTAAAATTCCACTAATCATATTTCTATTCAACGCACGCTTTCTGTATTAACCGGCCGTACGATGAAGCTCTCTATGTATCCATTTAACAAAAGCTGATCACTCCGTTTCAACATTCGGTTGAGTTAGTTTCTCGTTGATTCCGAACTAGCCAGAAAGTTATTAAGAACAATTTTGTTGCTTACTCTTTTCACAATTCGTGAATTCGTGAAAAATTTATTATATCGTACAATGTTTTCATAAAACTAATTATTAATGATTTTTAGAATGTGCCAAAATATAGCATCGAAAGAAAGAAATTTCGTCGTTATTGATCATTTTGTTACGCTTTGCATGGTATCCCTTTTTATTGCTTTGCAATAATCTTTATGTGGCAATTATAGATTCCTGTGGTGTTTTTCATATTTTGCCCGCGGAGGAAAATGTGTTTATTCACCATCGTTTTTGAAATATTTACAAATCTTATAGCTTATTAAATTCACTACTTTTCGTTGTCCGCTTGACCAAATATTATCTTTCAATTAATTAATCTTTAAGTAAGTTATTGGTCGAGATAAAAAAAGTCAGTGTCACAAGCGGGATTCGATGCCATGACCTTCGGTTAAATGAGCCGCAGCTCTCCCACTTGAGTTATCATGACTTCGATCCATCCACTTGGACACTAACTTCCCATCTCAACCTCACCTTTTGAATTTTACCTCCTTTTAGGGGGATTTGGTCAAGCGGACGACGAAAATGAGTGAATTTAATAAGTTAAATGAAGTATATCTTCACTAAGCTCTCCTTAGCCGTTTCATTTGTCGCCGAGAATCAAACAGATTAAACGACATTTTAAAAATGGCAAAAAGCAGGGAAAATTCAAAAGGTGAGGTTGAGATGCGAAGTTAGTGTCCGAGTGGGTTGAAGTCACGATAGCTCAAATGGTGGAGCAGCGGCGTATTGAGCCGAAGGTCGTAGGTTCAAATCCCGCTTGTGACATTGACTTTTTTAATGTAACCAATTCCTTAAATAAAGATTAATTAATTGACTTATAGATTATATTCGTCCAGTGCTTAATTGCTTATTTCAAGCCATTTTTCATGTTTCAACTTCCGCACACTCTCTGATGTTCTTAGTAGTGGTTTTGGTCTCATGGATAAAAGGATGCCCCTCGTTTGGCTATGTTTTTATTTTCGTTTTAATGGATTCATGATTCACATTATTATGATTTTATAATATCACATTATATTATTCACACAGTCTACAGTACTTTTGTGGCACTATCATATATTTATATTTTTTGGGTGAAGGGGAGAGCTCAAAAGAAAATTCCAAGGGCGACGGTGGATATCGAACCCACCACCTCGTTCAACACGCTAACCTCTTGTGCCCAAAAGTTATTTGGTCAGTCTATACTTACCCTTTTACACTCTCATACCCCGAGAACCTCAACAAGGTAACTTTGTCGAATTTTACTCGGTATTTTAGGCAATTTATGCATTTCGAGTATAGTGGGGAGCTAAAAGCATATGGCTGCCTGCCTGTCCGAAAATATGTGCATCCGTACACCTTTTTATTTCTTCTGTATTAAATCCATGGTTGGGTTTCATGAGCCTCAGCTTAGAAGACAGCAGGAACGATCCATTTGGTTTTGATACGATATCGACCGCTTTACTCCACTTTCCAAAGCCACTTTTGTAAATTAAAGTAATTTCCGGGAGATTGATTTTGGTCGATGTTGTCGAACAATTACGCATCATCCTTGTGTACGTTCTACAATGTGTTCAACTCGCTAGTCTTTGTACGATATTCAATTTGTTTTGTCCTTCCTATGCATTTTTTTGCCACCACAAAAGAGCTCCATATGTGACCAGGGGGTCAGACCGTTGTGTTGTAAAACCATCCGCCATCCTGGGGTTTATTCCACGGTTTTTGCGGCATAATCTTGGCCCAATAATTAGTAGAGCCTAAACAAACTTTTCCTCTCCAGAAAAAAAAATTATCATGGTGCCTCCAGGCAGGCCAGCCTGACTGCTCAAAATATTTACTTAGATTGGGCGGGAATAACATGATCAGAGGATTATTACTTGGTCTAATAATTTAATTTAAAAATAAAATTATATTGGGTACGTGTTTTGGAAATATTTAATGTTTACCTCTTAAAACTTTCAAGAGTTTTAAAAGGAGATTCGTGTTCTGATTGTTGTTATTTCTGCTAAAATTAGTGCCATTTTATTAGGACTAGCTTGACATAACGATTAACCAAATGACTTGAATCGCGAGTTAATTAATTAACGCGTATAAAAAAAGAAATATTGAAAATCTCATATAAAGTGCACATGCGACATAGAAACATGTAATAAAATAAATTTCATTAATGATCGCGATAGAAAGAAAGTCTCTTTTTCCTTGTAATCCATCTTGTTGAAGAATTTTATAAATTTACTATATTCGACGTTCCTCATGATACATTTTATTCCGAAAATATTGATATCTGACATTCTCAGGTGTATTTTTCCACATACGGTAGTAGTCGATGTTAGTACCCGCGTTTCGAACTCGGTCAAGTTTTCAAGAGGGGAAGCGGGTCACGGGCGACTGCTCCGGAATGTGTTTTATCGGGCTCACTGGTTCCTCGGAAATATATTAAATCGCTTCCCATCTCTTCAGAGCAGTAAACGTCATGGACTACTGCCTACACTTAGGAATCCTCGTGAGCGTGATCCGACGGATCGTACCTTTCTTCCTTTGAAGAGTTGAACCTTTGGAATATTAATTTTGCGGCTTGAGAACACCGGTGCCAAAGGGAAAACCTGCAATTGTTATTCATCACAATGGCTAGGGTCTACTGGAATTGTTTAAAACTAAGTGTTACCCGCTTTCCATTTACTGGTGTGAAGGGAACAATAATTATTCAGGAAAACCTATGTCTCCAATAAATGCTTATTTCGCGTACAAAATTAGGATTCAATTATAATATTTTAGACTGGTAGGCTTTACTAAGACTTTTCCCTTGTACTGTGCAATTTTACTATATGTAAAAAAAAAATTAAAAATAATTACGCTATATTATAACTTAAACATTTCACAAAGATCATAAAAGGCATTACAAGTATTTAAGTATTGTGTAGTACAATTCCATGTGGTGAAAGACGATGTAAATATGATTATTATGTATGTAAATATGCATGTTTGAAAACAATATATTCACTTTTACATATTTTTAATTCAACTCTACACGAACAATTAGATCATGGCAAGAAATATGTTATTTTCTTTTTTAATGTATAAAGAATGAATGTTTGAAAATAAAACACATTATTATGTTTATTTTTTTTTTTCAATCTAAAAACAATTATGTAATTTCCATTTTACGGAGAAATGTCGCGTCTCGCTGTCAGGCGCTTTGATGTTTGCCACCAGTAGCATATTTAAAATCATGCACATATCTTCTCTAAAATTACATTTTATATCTTTTAAATCACAACTGGCTGCCATACCACTTACAAAAAGGTAAATGAGAAACGGAAGGTCATTGATTACCTAAAATTAATCAATGCTTATGGCTATATATAATTCACCACACGTGGTATATCCCTCCTATTTGTAGGAATGTATTTATTTGCATGAATGTCGAAGTATGCTTGGGTGTAGCTGTGACGGAATATCAAGTACCCACAGACCCACCAAATTAGTACAGATATGTTATATATTTGTAGTATGATGTGAGGGACGGGTCATTGGCATTTCGTTCGTACTATACTTCCGAAGTGTAGTGGCTTGTCCAGAATGAATGTATTTATTAGCGTGAGAGGTGATGCGTGAAAGGACGTGGCTGTCGAGAAATATCGAGTACTCCACAGGCCCGTCAAACAATTTAGATTAGGATAGGTTAGTGTGTGAGTGGAACTTGTAAATACAGTTTGAACGTATTTATTAGTGTGAAAGACAGGGGGCCGCAAGATCACGATAATCTTCCGACCTCCAATTTAGTTGTAGTATAGGTTAGTAAATTAGTATGAATGTGAATTATGAAAATGTGTATATATTATATCTATGTATTTTAATTTATCTCGTGTGGGATGGTAACAACAAACAAGATAACGAATCCCCTATTAGGTGAATCGGAAGGCAACAGTTGTTTAGTTGAGGCATAAGAAGACTCAGAAAAGAATATACACATAACATAGATAAGAAGACAAATGCGAGAAGGTTTATATGGGGGCCCCGGCGACGACCCAGGTAGTTAGCCGGCAACAAAAAAATAATAAAAAAAAAATAAATAAACAATGAAATATGGTGGAATGTGCCCATCACCAACATCGTCTAATATTGATGCACACAGCGAACCTGGATATTATGGACTATGTATTTGAAAACGACCTATACATTTAAAGTATAGTTAAATTATTTAATACAAGTTATTTAAAGTTGAAGTTAAATTCACTAGTTAACGTGGTCCGCTTGACCAATTAATATCTTTCAATTAATTAAGGTTTTTAGTTGAGATATAAAAGTCAATGAAAAATGGCAAAAAAGAGGGTAAATTCGAAAGGTGGGGGTTGAGATGGGAGGTTAGTGTCCGAGTGGATCGAAGTCACGATAAGTGGTAGAGTAGCAGCGTATCTAGCCGAAAGTCGTGGGTTCGAATCTCGCCCGCGACACTGACTTTTTTATCTCAACTAAACATATTAATTAGTTGTAGTTAAACGTGAAAGTCCCAAAACCGCACAAGATAAAACAATATTACCATAAATAACATAATTTAAAAAATCAATCTTAAGTTATGGCTAACACGGAGATCATACGGCCAAAAAGAAAGACTGCTGGTTGGTCTTCGCAATTCCTTTGTGAGGTATTGCTGTGTTGTATACATTATTTATAATAAAAACATCATACAACCATTTTTTCAAACCATAATCAGTACAATTAATTTCCAATGTCAATTAGTAACGAATTGGAAAGTCAAATTATTTTCAAATTTCTTTATGATTGCAAGTATTTGTAATACCAGCATTGACTAAAATTGGTGCATGATTATGACAGTGATATTTTTTACATTTATTCTAAGATTTTTCCAATGTGCATAAAAACGTGTCAATAATCTCAAAGGCGAAGCTCGTATTTTGTTGTTTATTTCAAGCAATTACAGCATACTAATTTTAATATGAACCAAATTAAAAGAAATCAGAAATTCTTGAGTTTTAATAAACAAAATAATTAATTATTATGGTTTGAAAGAAACCACTAAAAACCGGAAATTCAAATTTATTCTATCATAATTATATATTCTTTTATTAAAACTCATGAATATCCGATCTTGTTTAATTTGAGTTAAAATATTATTAAGATATTAAAATAAGTATTATTTGGAGATCGGGAAATGCGGTCTGGTAGGTTTTAGATAAACATTTTATTTACAGTTCCAAGTTTTGACCTTTATTGAGATCGTCTTCAGGGCCTGGGATTTATCAACATTGTTTAAATTATACTAGAATTAATCAACAAACGGTTACTAAACACCACACATTAAAAAAGTATGTTAAAATTAATAAAAATCAGCATGTAGTATGAAATAAACAACATACTAGTGTCCGTTTTTTTCGTCTTGCAGTATATTTAAGCAAATATAAAAAGAATTTCCTTCAAAAACATAAAATAAATTTATTCAGATGGAAACAGCCTAAAAATAAATTACTTTTTATATTTATTACATTTGGTGTGTAACACTAGGTTTCGAAATGTGTTCCAACTACTGACGTAAAAAGGTATTCAGCTCTCGGAAAATTTGTACGTTTATTTTATCCGGCATCCCTGAGTCTATATATCAAAAATATTCTACTTCTAGGAAAAATTAAAATAACTTAAATAACCATATTCGAATTAAAATGAAAGATGATCATACTTTCGACTCTGGGATGAGTTGAGAAACTACGATAAAATCAGGCAAGTCGGAGTGTTGTTCCGTCCGTTAATAATGCAATCTATAGCCCTCTTCCTTTCAGACAATTATAAGGTTTTTTTCTTTTGAAGTTATAATTTTCCTTCGATTATTAACTACGAGGAAGTTTGATTACGGAGTCTCCTCACCCGTGAAATACTCCCAATATAACCTTAATTGCTATTGGATACCGGATTGACAATTATTATGTCATTAAGTACCATTTTGATTAGAAATTGATGACATGATTTAACATTTGGATTCAGATGTAAGGAATATTTAGGATCTATATTTATATTCAACTTGCTATGACAACATTATTCAACATTATTGACAATACGTTGTGGAGCAAGGAAGATGTTATTTGAAAGACAAATGTTATTAAAGAAAAATTCCACTCTTCCTACACCCACAATTACAACTCACAATATTTAAAAAAAATGCGTTTTTCGTGTGAGATACAACATTTAGAAATGGCAAAAATTAAATTATTTTATCCTTCACAATGAATTTATCTCTTTAAATCATGTGTTGATCTTCTTTTTTTTTGGGAGTTTTTGGGTCTGTTTTTCTCTTATAGTATAAATAATGTGGTCAACAATGTATCCAAATGTATAGAGATTAGTGACCGTTAATCGATAGTTATTCAGATATCGTGAGATGCGGTCGGTTGTGATGTATGTTTCAGAAAAAGGGGGCACTCTCAACACGACACGCAAGGATGGCACAATTACACAGAAGACAAACACTTTGAGCCCTGAAGATGATCTCAATAAAAGATCGAAACGTTGGCACGATAAAGAAAATGTTTTTCTGAAACCTACATCACACCCGACCGCATCTCACGATATCTGAATAACAAATGTATCCAAAACCATTTCCATATTAATTCAAATCATATTATTAACGATTTAAAACTAATTTACAAATAAAAACTAGATTCTTTTTAACTAGGTGATTGTGTCATTAGTGAGAAATTGAGCTGTAGCATATGAGTACGCATCGCTTGTCCAATAAGGGACAAATGCCCCAGTTTAATTAATAAACGAAATTATGGCGAGTTAAAAGGATGCTCTCCAGTTCATGTGGGTTTCCCGTAACTCTTTATCGGATATGTAATTATACGAATATTGCTTTCCAGTGAGACCGCACATAACGTACTTTATCGAAAACTAATTTAATGGGAAAGGTGCTTAATCAATATCTTGTTCTTTTTTGTTGTAAATATTTGGCAGCATCTATCTGCATTTAAACCTGCATGTTTTCTAACGATTTAGAATTATAATTAAACAAAATTATATTTGTCGTAATATAATGTCCCTTTAATTCCAGTAATTTAACATTATTAAAATTTCACCTTCGAGATAAAGTTTGAAGAACGACTCGCAACTTTAATTTTCCTCCCAGTGTTGACACTTTGAAAGGTTTTTATTTTATGTGGAGCACTTGTCCCGCCAACAATAAACAATATCAAGGAATAAGTAAAAGTTGTTTTCAAATAACTACGTGTTGCTAATTACTTTCCCTGTGGTTAATCACCGGTTATATTTTATGAAAAATTAATTATATTCTATAATTTAATATTAACTTCTATTCAATAAAAGCAGGCTAAAATTTAAAACTGTTTGCATTTTGGTTATAAAAATAAACGTTACATTAACTATTTAACATAAAACAATAAAAACCATATCCGATCAAATGTTGGAAGACTGCACATAGCGAGAACAGACATACCAAGAGATAATCAAACTGCGATCAGTGATACTCGCAGAAAAACCAACAAGACATCAAACTTGAACAGAAAAAATTCAAATAACTTGGCCATCCTGTCTCTCTGTAAATTTTGACACAACAATGTGGCTTTTATGACTCCAAGCTCTTACCTTCACATTTAAAATGCGGCTTTATAATTTTTTATTGGATGTTTGTAAGTATTAAGTTACAATCAAAACTTCAATTGGCAAAAAATTGCCTTAGAATAACATATCATAATTCTAAGTTATAAATTCTATCAAGTAAAAATACACAGTTTATTTATTATTCTAATTTTAATTTCTTCAATTATGATGATCAATAATTAATCATAAGTATTAAGAGGATAACCGTCCGTTTGACCAAATAATATATTACAATTAATTAAGGTTTTTAGTTGAAATAAAAAAGTCAAAAAGGAGGGAAAACTCAAAAGGTGGGGTTGAGATGGGAAGTTAGTGTCCGAATGGATCGAGGTCACGATAGCTCAAGTGGTAGAGCAGCGGCGTATCTAGCCGAAGATCGTGGGTTCGAATCCCGCTCGTGCCATTGACTTTTTTATCTCAACTAAAAACCTTAATTAATTTTAATATATTAATTGGTCAAGCGGACCACGAAATTAGTGAATTATTAAATAACGTTCTAGTAGAGTTGAAAAATAACAATTGAATGTTCGAAAACGTGAGCTAAGGTAAATTTGAAGGAGGTAGAAATAAATCTATTAGAACTCGCTTTGTAAAATAAAAATGACACATCTGTAATCTCACAAAAACCATACCAGAAAGCTTCATACTCACAAAAACCGTACCAGAAAGCTTTATACAATAAAATGCAATGGTTCTTCTTGTAGCAAGCACCAAACAACAAAGGAGGAACTTTTCAGAGGAAATGCTCAAAGTGTTTTCCCTCTTCTCGAATGTAACTGACTTTCTGAATTTCTACGCCCCCCCCCCTTCAAATTTACCTTAGCTCACGTTTTCGGACATTTAATTGTTATTTTTTAACTCTACTAGAACGTTATTTAAAAACCTGAATATATCAACGTAAAGCATATTAGATGCAGAAGTTTTAGTAAAATTTGACAAGTTGTAGGTATTTTTTTGTAATCTCAGTAGAACGTGCAATCATGACCAAAATTTTAAATTTTGTAATTTTGACATGTTCCAACTGATATTGCCTAACATTTTATGTCATTCAGATTATTGCAAATAGAAGTATCTTACAGCAAATTTAGCGTTCTTTCAAATGGTGTAATTGGATTTATTGTAGTCTCAACATTTTGGAAGTTGGAAGCGTTTTTATGTGGTAAAGTAGTAAAAAGTTGAAAAAACTTAAATTGACGAATATCTTCAAAATAAGGAACTTTCCTAAAACTTTCTTCTGAGCATTTTTTGCTCCGAACGAAAAGTAGAATCGATTCCCTGTGTTTCCTCAGAAGGAACTGGGACACCCTGTATATAAATATATATAAACATAAATCTATAAACATATTCAATTTTACTACTACTAATTTATCATAAATGTATTTAATTATCAAATTTTGATAATAACATATTTCAATTAATTATTCTCTTCATCTAGGGCCTGGGTTGAGATGAAAATATTAGTGCCACGAACGGAATTCGAACTCACGAATTTTGGCTCAATACGCCGCTGCTCTAACCATTTCAGCTATCGTGACTTACTCCTAGTGGTCAGATCAGCGGAGTTTTCGAATCAAGTTCTCGAAATTAACTTTTTCATCTCAACCAAGACCTTAGATGAAAAGAATAATTTTGAAATAATTAATATGGTCAGTTATGACAGCTATATATGATTTGATAATAACTATCCAATATATATCTTTAAACAATGGGTTTTGTTTAAGGTCTTGTGGTAGAAGATTACAAACCAACCTTCTCTGAGAAAATGAAGGATTTGGTCAGGCCAGAGATGCTAAAGCCGTTGGGTTTGGTTGTTTGTTATTTCGGTTTTCTACACTGCGGTGCTTTAAACGGATGCAGACCGTACTTGGTCCACGTCTTCACAAAGCTCGGCGTACCACTTGACCCTTTCGTCGGCACGGTAAAACAGTTTTTAAACCGTTATTAATTTAAACGTATAAAGTTACCGTTAATAAAGTAAACGAGGTAAATTTCGAAATGATACAACAAAGTTTTGTTTCAGGTGTTTGCCGCATCGAGCCAAATTCTGGGAAGTTTTGTTTGTATGGGAAGTGTTCGAAAACTCGGGAAACGAGGGCTTTCTCTGATTTCAATCACGGCCTGTTCACTAATTACTCTCTGCCTCGGAGTCTACGCTTTCCTGAGGGAAACAAGGCAGCTCGATCTCGGAATCTTTCCTCTCGTCCTATTTTCGCTACTCTTTTTCTGCACGAACGTCGGGATTGGGGTCATCCCCTGGACACTTCTGGCAGAAGTGTTTCCAGCTAGGTTTGTACAACCTTTTCCCTCTTATATTTAATAGATTAGTTAATTTAGATAGATAGATATATATATACTTTTTTACAAAATGAAAGAAATTTAGAGTTGAAAATAAAAAACAGTATTATTATTGCAAGGTATTAAGACAGTCAGCCAGAGTTCGGAGTGCTTATTTTAATTTTTTTTAAAACAATGGATACTAGGGACTGGAGGAGTTCCCTTTTGAGCACAAAGCTTATTTATTGTACTTTATCCTTTATTGTACTTTATCCCTGGCTCCATATTTTGGGGGAGGGTTCGCAACACAAATGTGAACTTGAGCCCACGTCGTACTGGTGTTCTTCCATCGAAGAAACTCATTTTTGAAGGTGGTCGGGACCAAATTCAGGGTCGCTGAGATCCGATCCCGCCCCTTTCATTGATGAGTGCCGTGTCAATTGTTTTCAATTGCGGCCACCGGTCCCCTTAGATGCCAGAAAAAGTCCAGAGGCGACGGTGGGGATCGAACCCACGACCCCGGGATCTACTAGCCGAGAGTCTGACGCCTTAAACACTCGGCTACCGCGGCCTCTTGAGTGCATTACTATTCAAAGAATATACATAATTATGTAATTATAAGAAAATGAGAATTTACAAAATCAACTTCAGAGTTTACAATTATTTACAGGTTTTTCAAATTACAAGATTGAAATGTGATAAACCTTGAAAGCTAATTTAAACGTCTAACATTCTAAACTTGACTATTTCCAATGTTCTAAGGATAAAAATATTCAACCACCTATTGTATAGTTTAATCATAGGTTTGAGGTTTAAAGATGACAAAATATTCTATTTACGAATAAAAATGTACCATTTTATTTGCAAATAAAGGGTAAACATTAGAAACTATAGCAGAGTAATATATAATACAAAACATTATACAGAAATATGTGGTGATTAGTGACCGTTAGTCGATAATTATTCAGAAATCGTGAGATGCAGTCTGGTGTGACGTAGGTTTTAGAAAAACATTTTCTTTATCGTGCGAACGTTTCGATCATTATTGAGATCGTCTTCAGGGCTCAAATTGTTTGTTTTCTGCGTAAGTGTGCCATTCTTGTGTGCCGTGTTGAGAGTGCCCAAAAAAAACAGAAAACAAACACTTTGAGCCCTGAAGATGATGTCAATAAAGATCGAAACGTTGGCACGATAAAGAAAATGGTTTTCTGAAACCTACGTCACACTAGACAGCATCTCACGATTTCCGAATAGTCATTTGTAATTATATTTAAAAGGATATGTCAATTTGAATAAACTATTCTCTATTGTAACTTCTAACGACTAGTTTCCATCAATTTTCATCTTTATGCCACTACATATGAATACCCCAAGAAATGGTGTAAACTAAAGCCACACGACTTTTAATACTGCAACTTGATAGTTAAAACTTATTTAGCACAGAACAAAATATAGCAATTCAACATAAATTTAAGAAAAGCGACCCTTTACATGGAACCATAAAGAAAAATAAACATGTACTTCAAACGAATATTTGTAATGCTGCCTTTGAAAACAGTAAACCTTCAAGTCATACGCGAGTAACACAGAGGTGGATTATGTAAAAAAAATATTTTTCCTGAAAGCCTCAATTACAAGCTCATACTTGGATAAGGAAATAACCGCTAGATTAAAAAAAACATTATATTTTCAAAAACTTACTAAAAATAGTGAGTCAACGAAGAAATATATATTTCCTATTTTCTTGGTTGGCTCACTATTTTTAATATAAATAAAATAACATAATTTTTACATAATCGTTTCCTTGATAATATCTCATGTTACACACGAATTACCATTGGTACGACACAATAAAACAACGAATATATTTTTCCAAAAGCTGAATTTAAGTGGGTTACACGTTTTATTCGTAGAACAGCTTGAGATGAAACGGGTAAATTTTTCCGTTATTTAAGTTTAGTATTATATTTAGTAGTTTATTAGGATTAGGTTTCGTCAAGAAACAGTTATTGTTGGAAATTGAAAAAGAAAGGAGAAGTGGTGGGTTTATTTTTATTACTATAAAGCCTACAATCATGTTAAACCACACTTTAAAGAATAACCAACCTACTAGCCGATGCTTTATTATTTTAACAAAGCAAACTGTATATAATTAGTTTTATTTAAATAAAATTAGTAGAAAGAAAAAGGCTAAAGTGAAAGTGTAAGAAAGCTTGATTTTAGGTAATGTAATTATTCAGGAATATGAATTTTTTTAAATATAGTCCTTTGGTCATGTTCGCTTTTAATCGGCCTGGATTAACGTTAGACAAAAAATGTAATCCGTTAAAAATGTGCAAGGGAGATTTTTCATAAAGTACTTTTACAAAGCGTTCCGCATGATTTAGGCAGAAGAATGTATTTTCGAAAAAAGAATGGGACGGTGAGGTAAATCAATGAAAGTCGCGATTAATTGTTACGTACTTTGTTGTTTTATAAAATTATTAATACTACGGCTGTAGAAAAAATAGGGGAAAAATTTATGGACCACGCCTTTTTATAAGTACAAAGAAATTATCTCCGTTTTTGGGGAAAAATCAATTTACCTACAACAAAATATATTTTGGTTCCACTTGACTTTAAACAACCTTAGTTTTCTTTCATTTTGTACGATGTCGGTTTCAACGAAAATCCGGAAATGGCGATGCATTTTGAACGAAAACAGGTCATTTGAATCGCTTATTACGATATTCTAAGATTTCCTTCCCCCTTAAATTTTCTGTATATTAACGAATGTCTAACGATCTCCCTTGTGTAATCAGTTAAATTTATTCAGTTTTCATTCACGGAATCCCTCACGGGTTTACAATCCGTACAAATTTTAATTTTCCCCTTCACTTAATTTCAGTCCTCGTTTGGGTTTCTTTTCGAAAACCAACACTTTGAGCCCTGAAGATGATCTCAATAAAGATCGAAACGTTGGCACGATAAAGGAAAGGTTTTTCTGAAACCTACATCACACCAGACCGCATCTCACGATTTCTGAATAATCATTATACAGAAGTAGAAATGGAGGTCGTGAGAAGCGGCCTGGTGTGACGTAGGTTTTAGAAAAACATTTTCTTTACCGTGCCAACGTTATGAACTTTATTGAGACATTCAGGGCTGAAAATGTTCGTTTTCCGTGTAGATATGTCATTCTTGTCTGTTGTTGAGAGTGCCAAAAAAAATGTTTTTCTAAAACATACGTCACACCAGACCGCTTCTCACGACCTCTAAATAATCATTAAGTAGCGGTCACTAAACACCACACATTATACAGAAGGTTATTTTAGCATATCGAACGTGTAGCGAGATAAAAAATTAGTTATAATGAATAATATTTCAAGTTTTAGAATCATTGTCATTAGTCATATTTTTCTCGTTGAAGTGCTTCCCTATTTCGAATTGGCATACGGTGAACTGATTTTTTCGGTCCATATTTAGTTACCTAAAGAGATCTCATGTATCGATTTTGTGACGTGGTTGAAATGGCTGTACCTCATTTTGCAGTATATATTGGGTTGTCCGGAAAATAATGCAGGATTTTGGTATTAAACAAAAAAAAAGAAACTAGTTACTTTAAAGCAATGTTCTTTAATCAAAATAATTTCNATGAGTAATCCTGTAAACGTAAACAGAATATTTTATATAGATTTTTTTTAATGAAAACTTAAAATCCTGCATTATTTTCCGGACAACCCAATACTTTCTCTAACCCCCTCATGCAACTTCTGCCAGAGTGATCTATTGTCCTCCTCGATTTTTCTAACTCACGGGCCAGCTTTAGGTGGTTAATCAACCACCTTAGCCTTACCAGAGTTTCCTTAGTGTAGAGACTTGATTGCGGTTTTTCTTCTCCTAGTCAAAAAATCTGCACCTATCCCATTATACAAATCCACCGATTTTAGTCGATCCTTCTTTATCGGAGCCTAGAAACTCTGGAATTCCCATCCTGACTACATTCACTGAGCTTCAAGCTTTCCATCTTCAAGTCCAGTCATTTTTAGTACCTCCCGTTCCTACATTTTAACTCTGTAGATTGTAATTTTTCTGGTAATTTCTCTCCTTATTTAATTTAGTACGTTTCATTGATTTTAACATTAAAATTATTATTTATATTAATATTGACACTAAATGCGCCAAATTTAACATTCAAAATTCCCTTTTTTTTCCTCTTCTCGTTTTCTTCTTATTCTCTTTAACTTGTTAAGAACACTTAGTAATCAATAAAATATGGAAAAATTATATTATGCATGTGCTCATTGTCATTGAAACTAGTAACAATAGCAATAAGGCAGACAAGTAGGTATTATCGTCACACAAAAGTAATTATTTTTCATTTATTCTATGTTCTATTGACAGCAAGCTGATAATCATATATATTACTTCAGTTGCCATGGCTTGAAAAAGTTTTGCCTTTTCTTTTACCAAAAGTCTTGTTTGCAGACGCCATTTTTCCCTAATATCAGAGTTAGTTATTGCCCATTTAGATAAGAAAAATTTACCAAATTTACCAGCGGAGAAGAAGGTAGGTGAATGTGAGCAAATCAAAGAGCCTAATTGTTTTGAAATAAGTTATCTATTTTCTAGAATCTGCCGGCTTTCAAAAAAAAGTACCATGATTTTGTTGATGTTATTGTTAATACTTAATGAAAAAGCAATAAATAAAAAATTCAACTCTCATTTTATAATGGAAAAATGTAATATGAAATCATAAAAGCACTTACTAAATTAATAAATAATAATAAATTAATTAATTCAAGCAGAAATGTAGTAATTCTGCTATCGAGACGTGATTCCAAATTAAATTAGGACATTTCTGCGAAAAGGGTTCTTTCTCTAAATTGAATCCCAACTAAATAAATTAAAGTGCAACGCTGAAAACCCTTCCACTTTTTTGTATTTTTTATTCCAGGCATATCCCTGTTAATGTACACGGTAGGGTTCAAACGTAAGGAATGTAAGTAATTTTTTTTCTTTTTTATGCAAAAATGAAAATGGTTGTAAAAAAATTGAGATTCTCTGTTTATCGAAGAACCGATGGATGTAGATTGTCAGACCAAGAAGTGTGCAATAAACTTGTCAACTATTTTAATTTCTTCATTAAATAAAAAAAATCATCTAAAACGCCAGTTTTAAAATTTAATATAGCAATTTAAATCGTTTGTAAGGTACAAGGAAATTATTGAGAATAAGGTGAGTCAAGGGACAAAGCTTGCAGTGCGAATCCCGTCCGGTCAATTTCGCTTTTTTCTGGATAAAGATGGTTACCTGGCTATGCGGCCTTTTTCTCTGCTGTCCTTTTATCTTTCAGCTATACCCCATTCCCTTTTGCTGTGGTAAATTAAATATCTGATAAAAAGATCAATGAATGCTGGTAATCTCTTTGGTTGTCCGGTTAAAAACATAGGAACGACAGTTGTCAAAATTACACACGAGCATTAAAAACCTACATTGACTACTTGAGCAAATGAATGCCGACTACTACAATACATAAATATCAAATTAAAATTGAAGTATCGTTGGCCAAAATAGACAAAAGGCACCTAGACTTTAGGACGGATCAAACCTGAACCTATTGAAGCCATATATAGCATTTTTCAGTTAAATGAAACTTTTTTTTCAATCGAATGAAACTTTTTTCAATCAAATGAAACTTTTCTTCTATCAAATGAAACCTTTTTCAATCAAATAAAACTTTTTTTCAATCAAATGAAACCATTTTTCAAGCAAATGAAACCTAAAACCTAATGATAATAATTATGTAGAGGAATAAATAAATGACATTATAGTATTAACAATAATTTTTATGATGATTGAATACATTACAATAATTGAATTGTAAGGCTTAGGTACAAGAACGTTTCCTGTGAAGATCCGTACTTATTAAACTTTTCTACATCCACCCCGTCGAAGTTTAATTAAGTCGGATAGAAAAGTGTTTTTGAGCGAGCAACAACTTTCTGTGATAGAAATTATGAACGATGGAGTGGGTGTTGAGTTCAATCCTTTTTAAAACGATGGTTCCTACACAAAGTAAGTTTTTATTGATTCCTCTACATAATTATTATCATTAGGTTTTAGGTTGCATTTGCTTGAAAAAAAGGTTTCATTTGCTTGAAAAATGGTTTCCTTTGATTGAAAAAAAGGTTTCATTTGATTGAAAAAAGGTTTCATTTGATTGAAAAAAAAAGTTTCATTTGATTGAAAAAAGTTTCATTTGGTTGAAAAAAAGTTTCATTTTACTGAAAAATGCGTACATCTTTGCTCTGTCCCTCCCTTTTTCTCCCTTATTCCCTGACTCTCTTTAACTCACTCTCTCTTTCTATGAGTGTTTGTTTTTAATCGATCATTCTTATATACACTAGAAAACTTTTCACCTGCAAAATAATTTTTACTGTCTCAATTTTTGCCAATTTCAACGTTAATAACCATGAATTGTAGTTCCACTTTGAAATTGGATAATAAATGTTTTTTTGTAATATATCTAACGTGTGCTTTTACGTAACTTCTCCCTATTATCTTTGAGCTATTAAAGAACAATTGCTTATTTTCCGCAAATTGAATATTCATTTTTAAAATAAATTACAATATTGGAGAAAAATGTCTGAATGTAACGGCTCCGAGTGTCTACATTGACAGTCATTTATGAAAAAGAGCTATTAATTCGACTTAAATCGCACAAAAATGATTATAGCGAGAGCGTTTTCTCTCAAAACACAGAAACAGAGAGAGAGAGAGAAAAAAATGGAAATAAGAAGAGTGACATTGTATGAAAAAATAAGGGGGAAATGTTTCAAAAACTAGGAGATTTAAAGTCGCCGAAGAAAAATATTAACACTTCTCTACAGATAGTCTAGAAGAAAGGAGAAATATGTGCATAAAAATACATAATTTGGTAAAAACTTAAAGTAAGTACTTATTGTAAGCAAAACAAGAAAGGAAAAAATCAACTGACTGAGAGAGCGATGGAGAGAGGAGGGAGAGAGAGAAAAAATGGTGTGAGAGAGACAGAGAAACGGAGAATGAGAGGAGGAGTAGTAATAGCTGCACGAAGCAGTCGGCACCTACTTTTTTCACAATATTTTTAAACAATTAATTTGAAGAAAAAAAATTCCAACAAATCATTTTTGAGACACCTCTCTATACTAAATATTTGGTCCATTTACAGGTTTAATACAGTTGTATGAAATATAGAAAATTCTATATTAAATATCGAACAAAATGTATTCCAACAGGAGAAAATTAATACGATCTAACAGTACTAAAATCTTCCTGGTTGAAAAGCACTTAATGTTATATCCGGGTGAACGGAATTATCACTTGACCATTAGAAACCAACTCAAGTGGATCACTCTATAAGAATTCCAATTAATCACCTTTGAGATTAACAAAACTGCGCGTTAAAATTGTGGATACAAATCCACTAATCATAGCAAGAATATTCATTCCGTGGTATAGAAATCAATACGGCTTTTTCCAGAGTGTTTTACACACGTAAACAACGTGTGATTTGATTATGTTACAAATTGTGAATGATGCTTTTGAATCTCATGTGAATAATTCAAAAGTCAATTTACATTCTGAAACTTCGGACTCAATTGCAAGTATCGCTGCACTTCTTTAAGTCAACAGCTTTCAAATGTTGCTATCCAGATCTTGAAATTCAAGATATCTTGAACACACAAATTAACTTTAATCCATTTAGTAATCATAACTGACCGCATTAGTTGTTTTAATCAATTATACATTTAATATAAGGTTTTTGTCTCACCAAAACCTTCGAATAAATGTTTAATTAATTAAAACTAACTTTAATGTCAATGTTTGTTTTCTGGGATTATTTAACAGATGGGACTTATATGATTTTATAATCATGTAAAAAGCATCCATTTTCTTTAAAGTTTTGCTTATATATTGATTTTTTGGAAATTTTAACCTGTTCAAATTAAAAATCAACATTCACGTAGTATATCTACTTCAGTAAAATGTATTTATCAACTTCTAGTTTTTAGGTATTTTTTACTAATAAAACTGTTGTACGGGTATCGAGAAGATAAACTGACAAAACGACTAAATTTATCTTACAGAAGTTGACGGATAAGTTTTTAATTTAATATTTTCTCCTCGAGTGTAATATATGCCGAAGTATTCAAGGCAAATACTACCAAATTTGATTATTAAATAATTTTAATAAATATTTATATAAGCACGCTATGACCGTAAGAAACCGAAAAGAAATATTTATTTAATGAATGATACGTTCTTTCGGTGCTAACGTTTGGAAAAATGAATAAATTAGTTTAACAAATCGTTGAGTATAGTAGTCTACTATAACAAAAAAAAAAAGTTTTGGGGGGCTACAACAGAAGGTATATATTACGCTAACCAATCGGCTACTGCAATCCCCAATCAAGCAGTTTGAACGTTGCTTTAATTTGGCTTTTTTTTTATTTTTTTAGGGGGCGAGGAGTCGGCGGAGGAATAGCTGCTGCAACCTACTATTTGTGGTACTTCATAGTTTCGAAGACATTCCTTGAATTGGACTCTTATCTCGGCCTGTACGGGGTCTTCTTTTTATACAGCGCACTTGGTTTCTGCGGACTGCTTTTCCTCTCCATCTACCTTCCAGAAACCGAGGGCAAGAAGCTGGAAGATATCGAAAAGTTTTTTGTCCCGAAGTCGAGACGCACAGAGTCGTAGACCTTCTCACTAAGCTCAAGACTGATTCGCACCATATTCCTTCAATAACAACAACAAATCATATGGACATTGAAACAACAAAACAAAGATTGGTGCTAAAATGTAAAAATTGTAAATACACATTGTTTCGCTTTAGTAAGCATGAAATAAAAGTTTATATTTTTTAAAAGTGCTATCGCTCACTTTATTCGAAGACAAGATAAAGACTTTAAAATTTAAAATAATTTCATGCCATAAAAACATTACCTTTCTAACTCTTCTGCAAAAATGATCCTTTTATTCATGATTTTTTAACCAAATTTGCTATAGATGAGTATAGAATATTGTAGATGTAAGATGCATGGTTTTGGATTGCCTTGGGCAAGTGAACCTTGGTGGACAGAGATTTTTGTCAGTCAAATAAATCAAATAACTTTAAATCGACATTTCGGTCCAGCAAGATATCTTTAAAATAAGATCTCCTAAAATAAGTATTAACTAAAATACATCATTAGTTCTAAAACCTTTACCAGAAACTATTTAACAAGTTCATAACTATTATTTACATGACCAGCACAAAGTTGTCAAACGCAAAATTTAATTTAAATTTAAAACAGATAATACAATTACTACCAAATAATACAAAAAAGAAACTTTATATGAAATTTCAATAATAAGGTAAGGTAAACGACAAGATGAATTGTTAGATAAAAAAGGAAGAAAGCAACTTTGAATATAATACATACGTTAAATTAATTAAACCTTTCAATTTCCTGGTCATGGCAATTCCAATTTCCATCCAAAACTATTATCATCAAAAAATTAAAAAATTTTAAGAGCAAAAGGGATAATTTAAAGTATCTACATGATAATTGTAAGTTTGTTAGTTCATTTCTGTTACATAATTGAGTCAATCACCAAAATAAGTATTTTTGTAAATCATACTCGTTACAAATTATAAGGTTTCAAATGTAAATTTTGCTAAGAAAATAAAAAATAAAAAAACGGCAATCTAGACAATTATTTACCACTGGGTATTACGTACGCAAACAAAATTCATAAAATACATTTTATTTCATTTTTATAACTTTTTTATACACAGCATAAGTCCCTCTATCGTAGTATTAAACATATCCTCCGTCATATCGTTGTTTCAGTTCTGCTCGGGAATGATGATGGAACTTGGATCGTTTCTGATAAAGAAAAGTACAAAACATTTGGCGAACATCTCTCCGACGTATTCCAAGGTCATCTCAAGAAGGCGATAAACATATACACGACTAACTTGTAATACCTACGTATGTCTTTAGATATGCCAACTAAACCATTAATTCCAAAACATATATGTCACAAGAAACATGACAGCAGAAATATACATTAAAAATACAGGCTATGATTTGATAACAGATGAAGTTCTCTAAGAACTTTCAAAAAACATCGTTTTTCTGACTTCTTTATTTTATGCTATCTTTTATTAAAATGATCCCAGAACCAAATAAAAATTTACACTCACCTTCATTTTACCGACCCATTAGTTTTTTAACCGCTCCTCCTAAATTATTAGAAAAATTAATTCACCAAAGAATTGTTTTCCACCAACATTTTACCAGAACGCTTATTTGGCTTTCGATCTCACCATCATACTCATAAAATTCTTAGAGTTTCAGATTAAATTATCTCCTGTCTCGAAGAAAATCTGCAGGGTGTCCTTTTTAGATAGCCCGGCTGAATTTCTCTTAAACTAATAACGCTATCAAAAAATAATTATAATAATAACAATAAATATTTGTAGATCGTGAGGTGCAGTCTGGTGTCACGTAGGTTTATAAAAACATTTTCTTTATCATACGACGTTTCGATCTTTTTTGAGATCATCTTCAGGGCTCAAAGGGTTTGTTTTCCGGGTAGATTCTTGAGTGTCGTGTTGAGAGTGCCCTCAAAAGAGAAAACAAACACTTTGAGCCATGAAGATGATCTCAATAAAGGTCAAAACGCTGGCAGGATAAAGAAAATGTTTTTCTAAAGCCTACGGCAAACAATAACGCTGGCCAATAACACCAAATAATAATAATAATAATAATAATAATAATAATAATAAAATAAAACTAAACTGTTGCCATTTTTAGTCCACTTACAAATTTTTATATTTTTTGGAGAAAAATTATACAGGGTAAATAAGGCCCATTTCAAGGTTAAAATTTCAAATACAACCTTATATATCCCAACAAAAATTCTGAAGGTTTTTTACGCTGAAAATATTAGTGCAATCGGATTTTAAATTGGTCCAAAAATGACAAAGTACAAAGAAGGGAGGCTAAGAAAAGCTACTTTAGCGTCCAAAAACTATCAAATTACATAAAACTTACATTATTCGCGCAACACCATAATGAGTAAAATCAGATACCCATTCTCAGAAATGGGTACTGAATGTATAATCCTGGAAACATGCTTTACTACTTCTTACGGAGTATAAGTCTCAACGGACTATAAAGGAGAGGAAGAACTCATGGGAGCATCAGATACAATGATATTGTAGAGATAACTCCAAAACAAACGAAGGAACCTGATCGAGTGTTTTTGTTTAAGCCCAAGATATGAGCAATCAAACTTATTAGGCAAATTAATTAAGGTTTTCAGTTGAGATAACACCGGACACCAAACTGCCATCTCAACCACACCTTTTGAATTTTCCTTTTGAAGGTGTGGTTGAGATGGGAGGTTGGTGTTTGAGTGGATCGAGGTCACGATAGCTCAAGTAGTAGAGCAGCGGCATATTAAGCCGAAGATCGTGGGTTCGAATCCCGCTCGTGCCATTGACTTTTTTATCTCAATTGAAAACCTTAATTAATTGTAAGATATTAATTGGTCAAACGGACCACGAAACTAGTGAATTTATTAGGGAAATACACTTCAGCCTTTCAAGCAGAAATACGTGCTTGTGCCCTAGAAAATCTTAAAAGAGTTTACACTGGCAAAAAAACCTCATAAAATCTGATACCCAAGCAAGTCTCAGCGGACTATAAAGGAGAGGAAGAACTCAGGGGAGCATCAGATACAATGATATTGTAGAGATAACTCCAAAACAAACGAAGGAACCAGATCGAGAGTTTTTGTTTAAGCCCAAGATATGAGCAATCAAACTTGCCATCTCAACCACAACTTTTGAATTTGAAGGTGTGGTTGAGATGGGAGGTTGGTGTCCGAGTGGCTCGAGGTCACGATAGCTCAAGTGGTACAGCAGCGGCGTATTAAGCCGAAGATCGTGGGTTCGAATCCCGCTCGTGCCATTGACTTTTTTATCTCAATTGAAAACCTTAATTAATTGTAAGATATTAATTGGTCAAGCGGACCACGAAACTAGTGAATTTATTAGGGAAATACACTTCAGCCTTTCAAGCAGAAATACGTGCTTGTGCACTAGAAAATCTTAAAAGAGTTTACACTGGCAAAAAACCTCATAAAATTTGATACCCAAGCAGCTATTAAAGCATTAGAAAGTAAAAAAAAAAATTACATCTAACTTAGTCAGTGAATGCATCCGAAATCTCCAAAACCTTGGAAATGTAACAACCTGATGATACCTTGAGAGCCAGGAAATAATAGAAGGTAACGAAAAAGCAGACACACTGGCCAGAGGAAGATCTGCAAGACCTTGGTCTCGAATCTATACTTGGGATAACAAAAACAAATTCAGAATCCTCCATCGCAGAATGTATCCAAATAAAACAAAAGAAGAAGTTGATAAACACTCGCGGCGCTCTAGCACAGTAAATTTATGTTAAACCAACCCTCACCAAGACTGGCAAGCTCACTGCTGCACTTGGAGGAGAGATTAACGGTAACATTAACATCTACACGACATGGGCATATATAACGATGATCCCATCTGCAGATTAGACAATGAGGAGGATGAAACAGCCACTCATCATCTTCAAATGCTAAGGAACGTCTCGATGGAGATTTAACCGAGCATGTAGGAAAAACGTAGGGAACGAAATTATAGACGAATAGTCAATGATCTAATATTTCTCACAATGATTTAGTCGATTACACTGAACATAGGAACTAGGGGGGTACAATAAGCCAGACGGTTGCAGTTCTGGCGAGCACAAACCCTGCTTCGTAGTTTCATCATCATCATCATCATCACAACCCGATTATATTCCGATATTTTAGAACACACATTAAAAATTTAAAAATATGTACAAAAGTTACTTTTGAAATTTAATTTAAATTTATTTAATGAAATACTTAAAAAATACTTTTTATTAATTTTGGCAGTTAAAATAAAAATAAGACAGAAAAACTTTCTTAATGTAAAATAAAAATTATAAAAAATCTAAAGTTAAAATTATAATAAAAAATGTATGAGATAAAAAATGTAAAAATACTCAAAAAAATTGATTTTTACATATGTACGTAACTGAACGATTCAAATAACTGGGGGTTAACCTAGTATCAAAAACAAAACTATTAAAAATCAATAGCCTTTCAACAAAAATATTCGGAGAGTATCTAAAAGATTCATTCCGGATGCGGCAACTTGTAATTTTTTAAATTACTGACCTCTGATAACAATACATTTAGAGTGACAGGACAATCAAGAACAGAATTAATAATGCATAGGTCAGCATAATGTATCATTTATAGGTTAACAGGGGGAGTGAACAGATTAGTGAAGTGAATGTCCCAAGCAGACAGTGAAATATCATTTACACACACAGAGTTTTTACCCCCAAAATGATTAAATATTTGGCATAATTCTTTATAATCCCTAACTCGGCTTCACTTGTTTATTCTTCTGTGGAAATAACCCTTTTCTTTCTCTCACCTCTAACTTTATATTCCCTGTTGGTTTATATAAGAATTTCTTACAGCCCAAGAGTTAAAATATTAAACTAGTTTTAATAAATTGGATGATTTATTTATTATAGGGGCAAGCACTGTCGAACCATGGAGTTTTTGAAGCACTAATATAAGAAAGATTCTGAACTTGAGCTAAGTAGGATAAAGTTACAAATTCCAACCATTATATTTCGTGGATCGAAGTCACGATAGGTTAAGTGGTATAGCAGCAGCATATTTAGCGGAAGGTGGTGGGTTCGAATCCCGCTCGTGACACTAACTTTTGTATTTCAACAAATACCTTATATAAAGATTAATTAATTGAAAGAAGTTATTTGGTCAATCGGATCACCAAATATAATGGCTTTAATAAGTAAAACGAGGCATATTTTCACTGACTCTCCGTGGCCATTTCATTTGTTGCCGAGAATCGTATCCTGATTACACGACATTTGAAAAATGGCAAAAAGGAGGGAAAATTCGAAAGATGGATTGAGATGGGAAGTTAGTGTTCGAGTGGATCGAAGTCACGATAGCTCAAGTGGTAGTGCAGCGGCGTTTCTAGCCGCTGGTCGTAGGTTCGAATCCCGCTCGTGACACTCACTTTTTCATTTCAACAAATACCTTACATAAAAATTAATGATAGATTCTGTTAATACGTTCAGGCATTATTAATATCTGAAGGATCAGATGGAATTCATCTTGTAGTTCACCAATTTCATTCTTTAACTACCTCCATATTGGACAAACGTAACCGACGCAAAAATGTTAAGACGCAGTCTACTTCGCACACATCGAAATTCTTAACATGCAGAAATCTAGTGGTTAGAATAATTCGCTGGCAATATCACGTGAGGTAGCGCAAATGACAATAATAGAACACCCACCACTACTTTGAATTCCCTTTTATTTCACCTGAAAAACGACCATTCAAAACTATAAGATCGTATCGCAAAATTTTCTAGTATTCCCTGTATCAATGAATGGATTAGACAAATTAAACGGTAATACAGTTTCGTTTATATCACCTTAATTTTATTATTGCCCTTATATATTCGTTGTTACATGCTGCCAGATAAATAATAATAAAAATCTTGCAATATTGATACAAATATTAAATTGTACTGCTCCGAGAAGAAATGAAATAAATGTTTAAGAAAAACAGA